TGAATCATGGTCCAAGATACTCATGTGACCCAAGGAAGTCTACCCAAGAAGTTTCAAGTCCTTAGGGAACCCAAAACATCAACGGTCGATTAAGAGGTTTTCAACTGTTCGGTTCGTCTGACTGAAACGTCAACCCTTTGACCAAGAAGGTTTTGAACCAAATTGAATCCAACTTTGTTCACAATATCATTTCACATATAATCATGAAGTTTGGTGGTCAATTGATCAAGAATTGAAAAGTAATTGAAAAGTCGGGAAATTAGGGTTTTAAAAATGGCAAAGCTATAACTGCTTAACGACACATCCAAATAGAGTGGTTCAAAGCTCGTTGTAAAGTTATTAATGAGTTATTAAAAAGTCCTATATGCACTCATGATCATAAAATGCATGTATTTTGAGTTATGAGCAAAAACAAGGCGAGAGGGGGAAAACACTTAGAAATTTCTTGACTTGTAAGTTAAGAAATCAGCCTTTTCACAAGGGTTTTTGACCTAGTTTTAAGTGGAATGGGTTCCTACCTCAAACATAAATGTTGTAGTACCTAATTAGGGATTTCTAAAAAGTACAAGTGGGTTCCATAACTCTTCATGGTTAGACATAAACTCACTTTAGCAAAACCAGTTCAACATGAGTGTTTTGATTCCAAAGCTTCCCAAATCAATTCTAATCAAAGTATAAGCCTCATTTATTATGTTTACATTATTAATTAACATTTTTAACATCAATTACCAAAAAAATGACACAAGGATTGAAGGAAATCATTATTTAATGCAAGTTGCAAAAGTGAATAATGAAGAAAGAGAAAAATGGTGGCTACCCTTGTCAAATCATAAACTTGGATGCAACAAGTCACCTCCTACCATCAAAAGCATGATGAAAACAATCTATAGGGAATGAAGAATATCTTAGTAGAGTGGCTTGAGGTCATGGATGAAGATTGCATTAGAAAACTCCAAGATTTTCATGATGGAAGGTTAAAATTGGCAATTTGCTTCACTTTTGCCCATACCTTGATCCAAGGCCTTTGGATATAAATATAAATCACTTCCTAAATCATAACACACCAGTTCCATGCTAGAAACCAGATAGAACTCTCTCCCTTACACAATCACCAAGTTCTTGCAAAATCTCACTAAGTCTCCAAAATCCCTCAAAATTTGTTTTTGCAAAATACCTTCCAAAATCATTTCCAAACTTTTTCCAACTCAAGAAACACTTAAAACACATCAAATATGATGTATTGAAGCTATCCAAATCAGCTTCACCCTTCTGTAACAAGGTTTGAGTGAGTTGGTCTTTGAAATCTTTGGATTTTGAAGATTTTCCTTCATTTATAAGGCGTTCTGTCCACTAGCTTGCTTGGAGGTTGTTTGGAGCATCTATTCATCATCCTATGAACATTTTTAGACCTTGGATGAGCTCTCAAGATCTCTAGTTTTCTTATTGCTCAATCTTGCTTCAAGAGGTAAGACTAAAACTCACAAATGTGAACTTTCCACTTGCATTTCATATGTTACCATGACTGTTTTTAGGGTTTTTACCATCATGTTCTTGAACTTTTTCAAATTGTAAATTGATTTTTCTTGTGAGATTGATCTTGTATGACTCATATTTGTTTTTTAACATGTATAAATGTTCAAAGTTGTTTGATTCATTGTCTTACCATGTTCATACTTGCTTTTGTGAATGTAAATATGTGAAAATGACCTGTTGAACTTCATCTGTGAACTTTACCATGATTCTTGATGTTGTAACCTATTGAATATGTTCATCATGCCTTATTATTCTTATTTATGTGTCTTGTTAGAACCATAACATGTTTAAATTTTATTTCTTGCCTCTGTGAATGCTTGAACATAAATGGTATACCTTGAAACTTCTTTGTGATTCCTAACATGATTCTTGATGTTGTAACCTCTTGAATATGTTTATCATGCTTCATTCTAATTGCTTATGTGTCTTTTTAGAACCATAACATGATAGGGTTTGATTATTGGTTTGGTTGTTATCATGAAACTTGCTTACTTTTCCCCATGAAGTCATGAACAAATACTTGAACTGTTGTAACATTTCATGTCTTCCTGCTTGCTTGATTGTCATCAATACATGTTTAGTTGGTCTTATGTTGTTACATTTGATCTCATTTGATTCTCATAGCATGCTTGCTTCAAGTTGTAACTTTTTTGCATCAATCTTGTTGAAATTTTATAGATGAACTTGTTGTTGTTCCACATGTTCTTTACTTACATTGATGGTTGTCACCTCTTTGCCTTTTCATCTTTGTTAAGATGTTAAATGTTGATCTTGATCATTGTTTATATGTTGTTAGATATCCTTGTTTATGTATCTTTAACTTTGTCAAGTTATCCCTCAATGATTGAACTTGTTAGTTCTTGCTAAGCTGTTATGGTACCCTATTTGTTTTATGTTGTTACATGATTGACTTAATCTTTCTTGGTTGTTTCCATGCTTCATGTATTCATCATGTTTGAATGATTTGTTTATATGTCTTTAACTTTGTTAAGTTGTTCCCTAGTGAGGGAACTTGTTAATTCTCATGCAGTTGCCTTATCATTCCCTATTCCAAAGGAAAGTCTCTCTATTGACCCTTGGGTCATAGATAGCTCATTACCCTCTATTTGAATTTGTTAAGTCATTTTGAATCCTAACTTAGTTAAGTTAAAACCTACTAGCCATTATACTTTGCTTAAGTCTAAAAGACCCACCTTTTACTAGGAGTGTTCTTCAACTAGAACCCTAGGATAGAGTTTATCCCCCCTATGTAAGAATCATTGTCATGATTACTTACTCCTCTCTTGAGTGTACAACTTTGAATAGAGAGTTTTGTTAAACTCTACACAAGTATTGTCATGTTTGTCCCCCTTTGAACCTCGATCCCCGAATCTTTTAGCGTTGTTGTTACATCGCGCAAAAGGTCTTTCTTTCTCTAACCTTTCCTTTTGATAAATCAAAGTCCGGTTGTGAATTTAATGAATTAAGATTCAAGTTAATCAATAACTTGACATCCGACTCTCACCGCACTATGTTTAATTAAAATTATTATAATAAAAAAATATTTATTAAGTTATGAATTTTGTTCAATATATTTTTAATCAATAGAATTATATAATCATATAGGGTGATGTAAGTGTGTAAAAAGTTAACATAATTATATTTTTAGAATAAATTTATTTATAAGATTGAAGTCAACTAACAACACTTCAAAGAAAAATTGACCAAAATTACCTCAATGCCCTTTCCTTTGAAATTGTTTACACTATAAGTTGGACAAAATGGTAAACAACTAATTGCCAATATTTTTCTCTTTGCAACCCCTCACCTCTTGCCATCTGTCAAGCTCTCCTCTATATTGTTTCCATTTGTCGATCATCCATTTGTCCAAATTAAACTAACAGTTTTTTAAAACTCCTTCCTTTCCATTCCCCTCTCTCTGTCAATTTCTTCTCTTTCTCGTCACAACCTTCCCCCCCCTCTCTCTCTCTGGCCAACAAACCCTAGCACGCTACCATCGAATCTCTTTGAGATGGAAGACAAAACAATCTCGCAAATGCAGCAACTCATGCCTCCACAAATCTTCATCTCCGATTATATGGTATTGTAGAAACTCATATTTCATTTCAATCTCTCTTTCATTCCTTATTTTATTTATAGTTCACGATGGCTATGGGATTTCTAACAATTATTGTTATTTTTTTTGTCTCAGTTTTGTTTCAGCATCTATTCACATTTGGGGAATGACTAAGTCATTCTATCTTTCTCCTAAGGGCGGTTTCAGTTTTAACCTCTGCAGAAGAAATGATATACTTGAAAAGAAAGGTCTCAAACCCCCTAATTACTTAAAGACTGGAACCACTATTGTTGGTTTTGTTTTCCAGGTCTAAATAATAATAGTTTTAATGTCTAACTTTTGTTTAATAATTTTAGGGCTTTAATTACTATTGTGTTGGGCACTATTTATGTTGTAGGTTGCCGATCTATTGTTTTTTGTAACCTCAGCAAGGTCTTCATGTGAAGAAACTGCTTCTCACTACATTAACATTTTTGGAAATCAATGTCTTTCTGTATTTAAGTCTCTTGATTTTGAGATGTTTGCAATTACTAATTTTCTATTATCCAATTATTTTATCAAACCTAAAGTTGAATTGATACAATGGTGCAGGATTGAGTGAGAACAAGTTAGACATTTCCCTTTTATATGAAGTTTTTTTTTTTTATTTCAGGGAAAACTATTCCAACTTATGATCCACGCACATGAGAAGTGATTGCTCAAGTAGACGAAGGCGGTGCTGAAGATATCAATCGTGCATTATTAGAAGCTCGTGAGGCCTTTGATGATGGACCTTAGCCTAAAATGATTGCTTATGTAAGCATTTCCTGAGTGGAGTGTCCACCTTCTATTAGTTTTAAATTTATAATGATGATGATTTTTGATGACTCCATCAGGAAAGAAGTCGTATATTGTTATGCTTTGCTGATTTGGTTGAGACAGATCTGCGCTACTCTGCTGATCTGCCATGCATTAATATTGGCAGGCCTAAACGGCCAACGTATATACCCATTGAGGTGAATTTCAGTTTTTCCATTTATTAAGTATTGCATTTTTTAAGTGGTTTAAATTGTGTGTTTGGTTATTAACTCTCCCTTTGTTCATGTTTGTGCCTTTAGCTGTGTGAATTGGTATCATTGCAACGATATACCAGGGTGAGGTAGAATTTAGGTCTATACTTTATGTTCCTCCCTATGCTCCATCAGGGACGAATGATGTAATCAATCCCAATACCAAAAATATAAGACTTTATGTGAAGAGAGTTTGTATTTCAGACGACTTTGATGGAGAACTGGTATAGGCACTTTCTTGTACAATCATATTGACTTCCCATGATACTTATCTGAATTATAGGCACTTTATTGTAACATAATACTTATCTGAATTATATGGAATGATTTTGGATTTTTCAATCAAGAATGGAGTTGATCCCATGAGTCGAAGTGTAGAGAAATCAAGAACTGTGGAAGATGCATCTGATAGAACTAAACCATGGCAATTGTCTGAAATTCTGGATCATGTTCAATGTCGATCAGTTACCTTGCCTGACAACACAGACTCTTTCAGCAAGGTCTGTATACTACTGAATTTATGAGATCACCATCAGTTTATTGCAAATTTTATATTCTTCTATGCTTTAATTTAATATACTGATTGGTATATAGGTTGTACGACTTTTATATACAAATTCTGCTGTTGGTGTTTTGGCCCTTGGTTCTAATGGCGTTCAGAAGCTTTGGAAATGGGCTCGCAATGAAAAGAATCCTACTGGGGAAGCTTTGGAAATGGGCTCACAATGAACAGAAGCTTTGAAAACACATTCTAGATTTTTGTGCGTGCATAAAATAGATGGACAAATAAAAAGGCAAAACAATTATATTAACTGTCTTTTTATTTTTTGATGCATTGTTAACAATTTTCCAGGGTTTTGACAGGTGTGGCATAGAGAATTCTAAAATAACTTTTATTTTCTATCTATATGTTGCTGACCTTACTTTTTCTGTTGCAATAAACAGGTGGAAAGCTTGATGATATTATTGTAATTGTTGGTCAGGTTGTAAGTTCATGAGATGAAAACAAGGTCTTGATTCTGAGGTGCACACATATATAGCACATAATACTTAGTATGATGATAGTTGTGTTTTGTGTTGCAATGTAATGTGAGGAAGCTGTCTAAGATGACAGAAAAGCTGAACAAATATTTGCTTAATGGTGTTGGCATAGTTAGTGGGATAGTGATGGCTCCTTTGGTTAAATCCAAACCAGGAAAGGCTCTTTTAAGGATGTTACCTGGTGAGGTGATGTTGGCTTCATTTGATACTGTCAGTAAGTAAAACCAAGTAAAAACACTTGATGAAAGAACCCTTTGTGTTCAATATTCTTTCTTTCAGATAAGGAATAGTAACATGGTCTTGACTTTTCTATTTCTGTTGTCATGTTATGCTGCAGACAAAGTTCTAGATGCAGAAAAAGGTACCACACGTACATTTTAAGTGTGCTTTTTTTTCCTATATCTGTTATTAATAACCATTAACTTTGTCCTGAATTTTTTTCTTTCAATTTAATGGAACAAAAACACATCCAAGGCTTTCGGTATTTTGCTCAGATAAGCAATTGTATGCTTGTAGATGACCAAAATAAGTGTTTATTCTATGGAAGTACGCTTCAGAAATTGGTCAGAGAAAATCTCTTATGTAACACTGTTATAAGTAGTCTACCTAATTTTTTAACTACAGGAGACATGGAAAGAACTTTCGACTTTTTTTATTTCCCGGTGAAACATTGTTTTAGGAAGCAACTCGATGTGTTTGGGAGGCTCTTGTCCAAGCCTGTGTAAATTGATGGACTGGATTGGTGACCTCACAGGTATCTTTCGTCACTTTTCCTTTTAGAATATAGAATTCTATTATTTGATTGATTGAATTGGTGATTCAATATTGTATAAGTATTTTAGTATTTTAATCTTATGGTATGTAATCTGTTAAGATTTAAATTCCTCATCGCTTTGATCTGTAGCGAGTCTTATACTTTGCATTTGATCAGTAGATAAATATGGGTTTAGTCAATCATACATTTTGCTTGCAAAGTCCAAATGATGCTGGGAAATTGCGCAAGGGCTTTGAGTGATATAATTATCATATATGTTATTATTAACAATGAAATGAATTTCATGGAAATTCCATATGATGGCAGCAGCTACAAATGTCTTTTACTTGAGTATTTCTTGGTTTATTTAAAAAATGGAGCCAGTTTCATTAGATTATAAGGCTTTGCTTCATAAAAGATGTATGAGCATTCTGATTTATATATGACGACTATGTTATAAGTGAAATCTAGAAATCAATGATTATGAATGGGTCTTCTGATTCTCCCACGGACTCCTTTTATTTTACATTGAATACACACCCTCATATTTTACTTTTGTGATGAAGCAATTATTCCCACAAATATAACTTCTCTCTCTTTTTGTATTTACACTAATACATTTACCCAAATATTCATATTATTCATCTGATTTTGCATATACACTAATACATTTACACAAATATTCATATTATTCATCTGATTTCAGATTCATAAATGAAGCATATTGTAAAGATTTTGACGCTAGTAACTGCCATCACTGCTTTATGGATTGGCCTTCTACAAACTTCTATCATTCCACAAAGTCATACTTGGTTGGTAGGTTTCATGTCATACACGTACTTTACTTTTTAATTTGGTTTTTGGTACAATATTGTTTGGGGATGGAAATCTTTTATGTTTCCTAAGCTATTACGCAATACAGCTTAATAAGGACTTATCATGTATATGTAGATAGCCTTTAAAGGGGGATTGCTGGGAGATGTTCAAACCTAAGCCTTACAAGAAAAGTTCTTTGATCCTTTCCAGCCCAACCAAACCTTTTGATGCTTTTTTATATTTTGATAGAATCATAGAATTAGAAACCTCATAATACTAACATCCATACTTCTGTCTTTTATGCAGCTACCAATGTATTTTGTCGTGTCTTTAGGATGTTACGGTCTATTAATGGTTGGAGTTGGTCTGATGAGTTTTCCTACATGTCCTCAGGAAGCTCTGTTGTTACAAAAGGTATTTCTATTTCTCTGCCTTAGTGATTGCATTGTTATATACTTCAATAAATGATGTGCTATTTATAGTTCATATGGAATATGGTAGTGATTTTATGGATAATTGATTGCATTATATCTTTATTAATATTGCATTCAATGTGAATTTTGAAATTGTTTATAATAGACTCAAATTTTCTTGCAGGTTTAATGAAGAAACCTATATTGATCAAAGTTAGGATAAATACTAGAAAAAAAGTGCTAAAATTCGAAACAAAAAAAGGTACCACAAATACAATTTAAGTGTGATTTTTTTTCCTCTATCTGTTATTAATAACCATTAATTTTGTCCAGCATTTTTTCTTCCAGTTTAATGGAACAACAACACATCCAAGATTTTGGTATCTTGCTCAGATAAGAAATTGTATACAATGCTTGTAGATGACGAAAATAAGAAGTGTTTATTCTAGGGAAGTACCTTGCAAAAATTGTTATGAGAAAATCCTCCTTGTAGCACTGTTGTCTCATCGTGTGTTTACTGCACGAACTACTAGATCTCATTCTATGAAATTTCTGATATTACTATGTTGTGTCTTTAGAACAAATTATAAACTAGAACAATGCTACCAAGATGTCTTTAAGTGTATTTGATTTGCTAAGATATGAAAAGACTAGAGAGTTCAATAACACATGTTTCATGTTGGATTGTAAAAATGATTATAAGAAATGAGGAGGATTTCCATTGAATCATTTTTGTCAGTCAAGAAAATTTTTACTTGTGAATTGTTAAGAAATGTTGGACAAATTGAGTTTGAAGACATGTGTATGCATGGACAAGTCCAAAAAATATCGAGCTCAATAATTGAAGGCTTGAACTTTGTTATTATTATTTGCTTAATGTTACATCCTTTCTCATTTTCACATACTTGCGTTTATCATATGGAAGAAGAAGCAGAAACATCTCTTTTCAGTATAAACTGGCGACATGTCCTTTCCAAATTTGGACTCAAAGAGGAGTGATCTTTGCCAGCTGAAGTAGTTGAAAAATATTGTTTGATCTATGATTGACCTTCCTAAAAGGTTCCCTCCTGTTCTGGAATCCACTCTTTATCAGCAGATTGAACGAAGTTAGTCTTACTCTTCTTAGATGGCCTTGAACCATCTTCATCAGGATCTCTCTTGCTTTTCATATTCTCCACATCACCTGAAACAAATTTTTAGAAACTAAGATGACTATATATAGATAGACCCGACCATTGCTAAATTTCAAATTTTTTATACCCTTTATATTATATAGTAATTAGAGTAAAAAATGACTCAGTAACATTTAATTATTATTATTAGCTTTACTATTTTTTGACAAATGTAACGTTTATTTTGGAAAAAAAATAAATAAATAAAGTAATTTGGCCCATAAATACAATATATTCAATTAACTTTTTTTTTTCCACGTAATCACAATACTTTAACAATTATTTTTATTTAAAAGATAAAATCTTTATTTTGAAATGTTAATTTTTTTCTTTTTCAATCTCACAAGTTTCTTTTTTATTATTATTTAACTTAATTGAATATATACAAATTATTTATTTATATTAAATAAATCATTTTAAATTTATAAAAATATTTAAATATATTTTATATGATATGAAATAAATTTACCCGTACGGGTATACTACTAATTTGCTTAAAAATGAATAAATCCAGATATATCTCTAAAAAAATTAAAAATATTTTTAAAATTTTACATTCTGTCTAAAAACATATAAAATGCAAACGATCCAAGCTACGAACACGTATACTAGTTAGGCCCACACACCAGATCATCTCTTAGTTGGTTTTTGGGTGTTTATGCTTCACAGCACTATTTTTGTTTTGCACCTCCCTTCAAACTCTGAAAAACCACCCCCTCTCCGGTCGCTAACCGAAGCAACACCGCTCATCAACCAATCCCTAACCGACCGAGCTTTGCATCTTCAACTCATCTTTTCAATCTCCATTGCATTCTCAACCTCTTTCAGGTTCGAAAACTTGATTTTCCAATTACTGTTTCAAATTGCACAACAGAATGGAACCATTCTTTGTCAACTAGGGCTTGTAATCTCATATAGTTACTGTACTCTAACCCTATCTTCCATGAATGCTAATGCTCCGTTTTGTCACTTACGTTATTATTACTTTTTTTTATCTTTAATCATTTACTTTCTTCATTCGTAGCCCCATTTGGTGTTTGTGCCTAGCAGCTTCTAGTATAAACTAAAAATCTTTATCTTTATCATATGCAATCTTATCTACATGTTTTAGTATTCAGCAAAAAATACTAGCTTTATTGCTCAACAATTTGCTTACAATTGTACATCAAACGTAGGTATTAATTTGATTAAATTAGCAATATGCTTTAGTGGACTTGTTCACCAACTCGATGAAACATTTTGATAGCAATATCTTAACATAAATTATACATAGTGCGTTATAATTTACGAATAGGCCTGTATGTTGAATACTACATCTGCTCTTTTGGAAATTTGCATTTTATCTCACTTCTCACTAGGGTTTTGTGTTGCTGGTCATTTGGGTTGCTCCCTTGTGTCAAAACCCATTTCTAGTGGTTTTTTGTTGTTGTTTGAACTCAAGATTATTGCTCCTATTGCAGCTTATATCCAAATATAGGTTTTTTTTCTTTTTCTGCCGTAAAGAAATGATAGACTCTCAAAGTAGGATTTCAATTTGAGGAACTGGAAATAAGATTTACAATGGTCAATACCATACGAATCTAAGTTAACTTTTGTCAAAACACGGAGGCTTTGATATAGTCAATCATACAAGTTACAGAGATCTGTTTCTTTATAATCAAGGGTTTGAAATAAATGAAAATTTCTGTGAATGCTATAATCTTACATTGAGTAAATGCTACAAATAGGGTGGCAATGTTAGGGAGAGAGGATACCTAATATGAGTAGGATTGTAGGAATTCAGAATAGAGTCAGGAATCTCTCCATTCGGCAATTCCTCCTAAAAACTAATGTCCTTATTGGACGTGGCCTCTTTTGAGATTTTGAAACCTAGTTACTAACTATCACGTTTTAAGGCGTTGCCTTAAAAAATAGTTTGATTTTATAGCTTTCTTTCTTGAAATCTTAAGTAAAATCTCTGGGGTTATATTCTTGTGAGTATATTTCATTCTTTCTTTTGTCATATTTGATATAAAGTACATTTGTAATTAAATTTCTAAGTATTCTATCTACATCAGAGGGGCAGTTCTGTAAGTGAGGATGAATTTGCCACCTGGGCAGTCTAAATCCTCTAATCGATATGGCCGTCGTAAATCTGACAGAGAAGGTGCAGCTAAGTCAGAGAATAAGATACCATCTGAAAAATTAAATGCCAACAGATTGGCAAGTACAGGTAAACTTCTGGGTAGGATAATTTATTATTTGTTTTTCATGATATTCAATATGTTAATATTTTCTGTTTGTTATAACAGGTGTGATTACTGACACTAAAGACGGTAGTTATGAAAGTCCTTCACATGACCGACTGGTATATCTAACAACATGCCTAATTGGGCAGCAGGTGGAAGTCCAGGTGAAAAATGGGTCTATATACTCTGGAATATTTCATGCAACAAATACAGACAAAGATTTTGGTATGTTCTTCTATTGGTAGTTTTGGGGATTCTGAAAGCTATTTATTTGTATTATTGCATAGCTATCTGGAGGGAACTATGAAGCACACTGCGTGGAAGCATATAATATCCAAAACATAGGATACCACAGCACACATATAAAATTAAATAGGAACCTTATTTATGAAAGATCTAAATTGAGTATCAAGATTTATATATTCATCATCATAGCAAAAGAACTTGTTAATTATTGCAATTTTCGTATGATAATGAGTCTCATCAAAAATACTAGAGACCTCTTTATTCTATTTGAACATTTTATTTCCTTGCAAAAAATATTGTAACTGTGAGGAACTATTGAACTGTGTTTTGCACCTTCAATCCATCCATATACATCCAAAATGCTAAAAAGGATATAATCAAATTTGGGCATTTCACCTGCAAATTGATCGTCATCTTTTTTGCTGTTGAAAATTTCGGTACCAGCCACGTCTCTTTTCATGTATTGGCAGTATTGCCAAGTAGAAGTGTCGGCTAGGTGTCCATGCCTTGTCCTCAAGGTGTCGGTTTGGAGCTAATTGTTTTTTATTTTGACACTGAATGGAGTGTAAGGCATGTGTCGTACAACATCAAAAGTGTTGGGCATTGGACTTGCATTGAACCCAAAGTGTTGGTGTTACATATTGTAAAATGGATATACATGTTATTTAGGATAATTAATAATTAATTTATTTTGGAAATTTTATGATGAGTTTTTATTTTAGAAGTTACTGCTTGATTTGGACTTGACCAGGGTTTTCAAGATCGGGATCTTGCATAAGATCAGGAGGGGATAGTAATATCATAAAACATAAGATCGTTATTAAGACAGGAAGATTCTACCCAATTATTTTTGTAAGTTCGAGAAGGGGTAGCTAGATCACAGAACATATGAATTAACAAAAATTGTAAGATATTACTAAAACGAAAAATAATACTATTTATTTAAAGTTCATTTAATCATATTTTGGTAGGCTAGTTTATTCTAGGGAAAATGGCCTCCACTGAGCCGTAATTGTTGCGCCTCGGCATCTTTTGTAATGATAGTGGCCAGAAAATGGCCGATTGTGGTCAGAATTGGCCAAGATCACACATGATCAATGGTTTTACGATTTTTTTTCACACTTTGGCTACAACACACGATTCTACTTAAGATCGTGATCGTTGGGGGTGAGTGAGATCGCTAAATCGTAAGATTTTAAGATCTAGATCGAGATCTTGACAACCTTGGATTTGACTATGTTGTGTTCTAGATCACTATTCCCATTTTCAGTATTAGATTTGTAGATCATGGAAAACTTGACTTACGATGCTTCGTATATCATACTCTTTTCTAGGAATCATTTTGAAAATGGCTCGCCTGACAAAGGATGCTTCTTCCCAAAGGCAGAAGCCTGCTGCAGAATTTATCGGCAAGGCTCCTTCAAAGATTTTAATTATACCTGCCAAAGAACTTGTGCAAATTATAGCACAGGTTTGCCACTCGGGAAATTTCGTAGTTACTCATGTTAAATATCTGCCTGCAAGCTCATAATATTTTTATAATGCTGTATAGTAGGCAATGGTATTAGAGAATTTAATCTAGGCTCTACGGTTAGGTGAAGTTTTTTTTAAGACATTGCCACTAGTTTCCTACTTTTGGTTTATCAATCATGGCAGGGTGTTGCTGTTACTAGAGATGGCCTACCTAGTGAACCACACCATGATAGATATCAGGAAATCATGGTTGATTCATTGATATCTCAATCTCATCATGCTGAGCTGGGAAGAGAACTAAAACCCTGGGTACCTGATGGAGATGATCTACAATGCCCTGAACTGGAAAATATCTTTGATGGCCAGTGGAACAGGTTATTTTTCTTGATGAATTAAATTTTATGAACAACAAAATCTTTTATTTTCTTGAAACACCGACACCAACATACATGCCTGTCAGTTGCCTTTATTCTCTTGAGTTTAGAAGATTGAGAAACTATGCTATGTATCTTTTATGTTCTATGTTAGGCATTTTCTATAGAATAAGAGTCCAGATGTAAGTGGTTGATTTCATAATGGTCTCTCAGTCTTACTCCTTTTGTTTCTAAACCGAGGATATTTCTTCTCCATTGTTATGAATAACACTTGATATTTGGTAATATGGACAAATGAAAATTAGATGACAAGAAGTAATGCCTGGCTAGATACTGTGTAAAATTATGCATAGTTCTTTTCTTCTTTTTGCCTCCATAAAACCAACCACTTTCCCAAACTGTGTAAGCATATGTTCCCCATTTTTCTTTGTGACTTTTGGAACCATATTTCTTGTTAGGGACCACTCAACCTGTTGTGATTCGCTAAACTTTTGTGTTTGAAACCTGATTTTAGCAAAAGATCTGTCTGACATTTGATAGGTATTCAACTTCTTTCTTGTGCTGCATCATTTATATTTTCAGGTTATAGGACCATGACCATTTATAGAAATTAAGGATTCTTTATTGGGGATTTTTCAAAAGGTTATTTTTGTGGCATACCAATAATCATTGAGGGAGGTTTGATTGAGTATATGAAATTGTCCCTTCAGTGCTGTCATAGTGTTAGGTACAGATTTTCCTTTTTTTTTCCTTAAATGTTTCAATTTCTTCCCAGCATATCCATTTAGCTTTGCATACGCAATTTCTTTAACCTTTCTTTTTAAACATTTTAAGGGGATGGGATCAGTTTGAAACAAATAAGGCATTGTTCGGGATAAAAAGCACATTCAATGAGGAACTGTATACAACAAAGCTTGAAAAAGGGCCACAGACAAGAGAACTAGAAGTGCAGGCTTTAAGAATAGCAAGGGAAATCGAGGGTGAGGAAACTCGAGATCTTCATCTTGCTGAGGTTAGTGTTGCTCAAGTACCCCTGTTCTTGCTTTTTTTTTTGGCACTTGTGAATTTCAGCAGTTTTTGATTTAATCGCGTGTTTAAAACTCGATTATATTATTTTTCCTAACAGGAAAGAGGTCTTCACTTTGATGAAGACTTTGATATTGACGAAGAAACAAGATTCTCTTCGGTCTATAGGGGTAAACATGATGATACATATGAGGAAAATGAAGACATACTGATGGATTCACACAATTCTGAGACTTTTTGTGGTATATTCTGTTTGGTCAATGAGAGGTCTGGTGAAGTAAATCGTGGGGAAGGCAATGATGGAGCTCATACATTGGCTACTTCCTCTCCCATGGTATATCCTCATTTCGTTATTTAATCATCAAAAGTGCTGGCATTTAGTAATTCCCAATATTTTTCTCAACCATATTGTGCTTTGTAGGAGTTCATGATTACCAGATAACTAATACTATATAACTATAGTGCTTTGTATATTACACAATTGTTAATATTCCTATTCCGGCAAAGCGTCTTATCGTGCTTTTAAAATTTGTGCAGATTTAGCATCTAAATACTACTACTAAGAACTATATATTGCCTTGGCCAGGAAAATGTTGATATCAATGTTCTTTTCAAGTTTTTGCGGTCTTCTTTGCATGCTTTCCTCTCATCTTAAGAAGTAACTATTTTGTTTTCTTATTATCGCGATACTTGGTATATATTGTGTAAGCAGGATCACCCACAGTCATCTCAGTCAAGTGCTGGTGTAGATTTAAGTAGCACTTGTGCTTATTATCATGCTAAGCAGTTTGAGTCTGCAATCCCTTCCAAAAGCTACTCATCTTCGGATGGGGAAAGCAGGTGTTACCTTTATCTTTATCTGTTCTGTTTATCAATATTTGTTTCCACTAATGCTTTGTATTGTTTTCCTAAAGATGTCATTTTCAAGCATAAATCTATAACGATATGTCTATAACAATATATAAAGGCAAAACCCTAAACCCTAATTAGTTTGCGTCTGCAATCCCTTCCAAAAGCTACTTTTCTTCGGATGTGGAAAGCAGGTCTTACATTTATCTGTTCTGTATATCAATATTTGTTTCCACTAATGCTTTGTATTTTTTCCTAAAGATTTCATTTTCAAGCATAAATCTATAACAATATATCTATAATCTATAACTATATATAAAGGCAAAACACCATTTCGGTGTAGCCTATTTTCCCCCCAAATATACCCTTTTCAATTTTTATTTTAAACTTTAACTTCTCTCACTATCATTTTCAGAGTAGTTTACATATATTTTTTCATTCAATTATCTTCTACCATTTATTTGTTTTATCACACGATTAATTTAAATTAAAATCAAAATTACGCAAAAAAATACCGTTTATATATTTTTACGCATGTGCGCATTAAAAAAGTGGACAGACGGGCACGACCTGTTTTGATGCCAGTATCATCTTTATTACAAATCTTCATATCCAACAACATTACAGGTTTCAGCAGAACTCAATTCAAAATCTATGTGGAACCGGTGCTAACACCAAGGAAGAAAATCTTATAGTGAGTTGAAGTTTCAGCATTACTGCTCAAATTTTATCTACACAAACTTCTCACATGAGACTGCTAGTATTTATAATATGACTTGATCTTGTTTTTATTTTCTTCTTTAAATGGTGCAGCAATGTGAGGATGTTCAACTGTCTGAATACGAGGGTATGTAAAAAAATCTTTCAGATTCCTCAGATTTGAGCAGCTCTAAAATGTTATATCTGAAATGATGCATATGAAACTACTCCCTAACTTATGTAGGGAGTTGAGAAGCTTTCTGTTAGTACTGAAGCACTTTTAAATGGCAGCTCTAACACCTAGATTTGTGACTTAATTTTTGTGGCTGTTTTTTCAATCACGGTGTATTCCTCAAAATTTTTGTGCAGATTCACAGTCATCACTCTACTTAAAGAAGGATTTATCTCCTTATGCCAGCTACTATGCCCCATTATCTCATATATTAACAAAATCTCACGAGAAGATGGGATCCCCCGGGGGTTTAGCATATAACAAAGCTAATGGGGGAACAGAGTATATAAATTCACACGGGGTTGGTGCGTCATCTGGGTCAGATTCTGTGAGAGGTGTGGCAGCATCTTCTGGTCCTGGTTTATCTCCAAGTTCGTCTGTTGGTTCACTGTCTTCTGAAAAATTGTCTTTGAATCCCAATGCAAAGGTGCAGTTCAAGAAGGAATATTTCACTAGCTGATTCTTGTTTTATAAGTTATTGGCCATTGTCTGAGTTTCTCTTGTTTCTTATTCATGTTGTAAGGAATTCAAGCCCAACCCTAATGCAAAGAGTTTTATTCCATCACCTGCTCGTCCTTCCACTCCAGTGTCTGATGGTTCCTTCTATTTTCAACCTAATGTAACTAGTGTACCAAATATGCCAGGCCTGCCCGTGAGTATTGGGGTAAGTCATTCAGAGTATTTATTGAATTGAATATGTAAAAGTGCTTAGTTATGGGTTGGAGTTACTTAAGGATTACTGCTAAATTTGACTTGCATCATTAGACTAAAGAGTTATGAATTACTGCCAATTTCATCTAGCATAATAACTACTGTCATGTGCTTAAAGTTTATTTTAAGTTTTTGGTTTCATCCCCTGTTTTGTGGATAGGGGATTTGATATTCCGAACATGTGTTTTATAGAGCTGGTAAAGTAGTTTGCAAACGAGACTATGCAGATGTATTGGGTTCGACTTAATTTCCTTTCTGCCTTGGTACTGTTCACTCACTAGCTTTTTTTTGCATATGACCTTCAGGCTGGACCCACTTTTACCGGACAACAACCTATCATATATAATCCACAAGTATCCCAAATGCCAACTCAAGCATATTTTCATCCAAATGCACCACTGGTATGAAATTACTTGTAGCATCGTTGCGAGAATAATGGCGCTTTACAATATTTGCTTACTGTCTAATTGCAGTACGGACAGCTTCTTGGTCATCCTACACAAGCTTTATACATGCCGAGTTACTTACCTGTAAGAAGTTCCATCTTACCCCTACTGTCACAATTGATAAAATCAGCCATCTCAGTAACTTAATCCATAATGTTCAACGTTTATATGTCATGCATGTTGCATTCTTTCTTATCATGAATCGCGATGGTGAAACATGGCTATTCTTCAACTAGGCATCTCAACTGAAATTTAACAATTCTAGATGTAATTAGTTGTATGCTTTTGGGAGGCGTATGCTTATTATTCTAGGAACTGCATGAGGCGTATGCTTATTATTCTAGGAACTGCATCTTTCTCAAATCGGTATTTTGCAGGAAATGCCATACAATGGACGTGATTACTGAAGACTTGACTGACTGTTATTTGCAAATCATCTCCTTGCTCGAAAAGAATAAACTAAGTGGATGTCTTGAACAGTTTATGAATGAAGATATCTACAGCTCATGGGAATATTTCAAATGGTCCATTGTGAAATACAATTTTATGACCTTGTATGGGCCCGCAAATCTTTTGGGGTTTCTCAGGTTTTGATCTGTGTAAAAGTGCAACTCAAATGTATCCCCACCCCTTTTCTATTCCTTAATACCATGCCACATTTACTTTGTACCACTACTCGTTCATCTTGTACTTGAGCTGTTTGTTTGTTACTGTTCATCTTGTACTTGAGCATGTTTGTTTGCTACTCGCCGAATCAGTTTAATCACCGGTAAATTGACGTTTTTAATCATGCGGTCTTTGAAATGTCCGTTGTGTTATGAGAGACTGTTGTAAGTTTGGAGGCATTTATAGGTTTCTTTCAATTTCTCGTAATTGATCTGAAGGGCCTATAATTCATTGGATGCCAATTTGAGCCGCCATCTACTATTATTTTGGTTGTGGCGCGGCAAGGAGGTTCACTGTAAGTTGGCCCACCCTTAAAGGTGATCCTGCAGAATGCTACTATTAATTATATTCTAGGGATGAGAAACTTGAATCCTCATGTGAATAGACCTACTATGGAGGTGTTTGTTAGGTAGCTGGCTTCCTTTGGCTGAGCGTGGAAGAGTAATTTGAGATATGATAGTTATGTGGTTTTGCCAATTTTTTTGCGTTCATGTAATGCACCTGAACTTTGGAGTTAGCCAGGGTTATAGACTTGGAGCTGTAGAGCTTCAATTAGACGATGTCGGTTGTTTTAAGGTGTTAACTGCGAATGATCACGGTTGGAATTCAGTCGAGGACGAAGAGCTTGCTCCAAATAAATTAGAATGTTTGATGAATCATGTCTATCCATAAGCTAATATGGCTGCTGAAAGTCCTTAATTCAACCCTCATCTGAAAAATGGTTTTATTTATGTTTTCGTCCACCATAGCATTGTTGATTATGTGTAAGGATAAGATTGCATTCTAAAAGCGGTAGCTTCCCGCCTCCTTAATTTTTACTGCCTCAGCAAATGTACAGCCACCAATCCCCTTTCTTTCATCTTGGGGGCGACTTCATGTCTTCCTGGTGTGCTTTCTTGGTCAGGATAATTTATTTTTACTTGGCTCGGTCTCTTCGAACTTCTACTTTTCGAACTTCTACTTAGAGGGATTGGGATTCACCAACATTTTTGGCGGAATCACCAAATAGAGGATGTTTTATGTCACAGAATTAAGGGACTGCATAGTCCTTATCAATTCATTCAAATAGAAAGTTTAGTTAACCTAATTGATTTGAAAAACAGAAAAACAAAACTTAAAAAGAAGACATTTTAGTCTTTCTACATTCAGTTAATGAAGCAAATAAGCATCACAACATATTCATGTGCAAACTATTGTCATCAAAGACAAAATATTTTATATAATAGATGCTGAATCAATAATTTAATAGTCTTAATTCATTTTTGGAATAGATTATAAGTTGGAGTATTTTTTTTGTCAAAGAGAATGAGTCATAGTTTGTCATTCTCATCAAACACACAATGCATACGTAGGAATATGCCATTGTTATAAGTAGCCGTAGGATTTGATACCAGGTGGAAACATGAGCATCACTGTTCAATCACTTCAATTATTGTTTATATTAAAATCAAACACCAAAGAAAAATAAAAACACGCATCACAAAACGACAAAAATGACATGCATTTCATAAGAGAAAAAAAAAGGTTTTCTAAGACCAGATTCTCTAATGTGACAAAACAAGATTCCTTTTCACTCACGTTTTTCTTTTAAAATATTTTTTAAAGAAAATAAATGATATTTTATTAAATAATTATTACTATTTACTAAAATATACTACTACTTTTAAATGATGAGATTAATTTTTAAACACGTTAATGTAAAATTATTTTATAATATATATATTTGAAAGAGTATAAAATGGTTGGAAGGTGGAAGTTGAGTGTAGTTGGTGCATTAGGCTGCGGTGTACATTGTTTTTGTCATTATCAAGACTTAGCACTAAAGCCAACACACCAAGTACAACAGAAAACATTCACAAACAATCATGGATTTTCTAGTTGGAATTTCTCTCAAATTTAATAACCGAGATATGTCGCATATTCAAACTCGTGTCCTTAATGAATTAATGTTTTAGAGGAATTAACTTGTCATTTCTTAATTAAATTTTCATATATTTTTATCATTTTTGAACTGTTTATGGACAATTTTAAGCAAAAATATGTATGAAATTTTTGATAATTCATTCAAAATTTTCCATAATTTATTTTTAAATCTTTTATATAAGTTTGTTAAAAAAAATTAGCATACTGGATTATTTAAAAAGTCCGACATTAGTTTATTTTTTTAAATTTTTGATAGGTTATATTCAATAAATTTTTTAAGACTGTTACAAATTTTGAAAAATACAGTAGTTTATTGGAAATTTTAAAATTTTTGATAGTGAAATTTTTTGGATATTTCTTCAATTTTTTTCAAATATTTTTATTTTTTACTGAAAATTTTAAAAAATTCTAATATTTTTTCAAAATTTCCGGTAAATACCATAGAAAATTCCAAAAAATCATTTTATAATCACTATATTAATGACAAGTTAAATACTGAACGTATTACAATCTAATATTCATATACTCTTATCAAGTAAACTTGCTCAATTATATATATATATATAAAATATTTTTTTTTAATAAAAATTTCATAAAAGACATGGTGTGATGTAAACTGTAGTATTATTAGTAGTAGTGCCCCACCACTCTTATGTCAATCTATGAGTCATCACTTTTTTCTTTCTTTTTTTTTTTCTTGTTCTTTAAGATTATAATTTACATCTATTCTTTTTCAAGTTTCATCTCTTCCCACAACACTCATGCACAACTTCTCCTAAATCCACCAAATTTCCAAGGTCTTTCTTTTCTCCCTTGTTTTTTAGCTTAAGATGATTGAATTGATTTTCATACTTGTTTGATTTTATGCATGATTTCTATATGCTGATGCTTGATTTCATAAAATAGGTTATTTATTTGTTCTGTTTGTATATTTTGGGAATTTAACATTTATAGATAACTTTCCATTTCAGTGTCAAAAGTTTTAAACTTCAATTGGGAAAGACTTCCTTAGGGTTTTAGTTCATTCAAAAAATTTGTCTTTTTATTGCTTCTCTGCTTTATTTTTGCAACTCTATTGAAAAGGGAAACAGACAAATAAGACAAAGAAGTTAAAGAGATTTTTCAAGAATTTATTTTAAGTTTTCTGAGATTCAACTTAATCTTTGACTCATGTTGATTAAACAGATAAATTTCTCTTTATTTTTCAATTGAATTATTGATTCTGTTGAAATATACTAGTACACTATGTAGCATTTGCTTAGAGTACTGCATGTAGTTTTTTTGTATGGATAAATGAGGGTGAGTTGATCCAAGAGTTGAAATGTTTATGTCCCTTGCACACCAACCATTTGTGATAAACTCTGGTTGTAGTCACGGGGGCTTTTGTATAGCAGCGGCCTTGTTCATATAAACTTTATTTTTATATTCTCCGGTTAGTAACATGGATATGATGTCCCCTTATATCTATTTTGATTTTATTTGAAAGGTAAATGGATTGTTGTTCTAAGAGGTAAATAATGAAGTGTTTATGTGAGAAAGACTCTGGTCTATGTTCTGTTCATTCAACTTCACACCGTGTTTTTGGATGCCCGTCATGGGGAACTTCTTCTGAACCTGAAGTCCAACAAGCTTCCATGTCCAAAAGTTTGAGCTTCAAAGTGGATGCTCTGCCACAAAAATGTCTCGACAAGAGTATGGCACTGAGTTTTCAATTACACGAACATGATTCATCTTCAACTCAATCGACCGACTCATCACAATCAGGTAGTTGAATTGAAGCATTCATTTGTGTGATTCTGTTCTTGTCAACCGGTGTTTACCATTTTGTTCTGCTTTTGGTGTATATATCTACAATTGTGAAGCTGAAGTAGTAGTACTATGTATCTCTATGTAGCATCGACACTTCTGATTAAAGATGTTGTTTGGTGTCCGATACAACACCGTCCCATGTACTTTACATTCAATTACTTGTATTTTTTAAATTATTGTCGCTAACATGTCTATGTAGCTCTCTATGCTAATAGAAACAAAATTAAGTAATATGATTATGAATCTATGATCCTATGTCAACCTAGCACCTTAGTTAGCATTGGCTATTTATAAGAGAGAGTTGACATTTTAGATTCACTGAATAATCAATGTATCTGGTTCATATACAGGCCAAATACAATTATTATTCAATGAATTTAAGAAGTAATTTTTTTCTTATAAATAGGACCGGAGGTAGTACAGATTTGTCTTACAAAAGTGGAATTTGTCAGATGGATAAATCAAAGAAAGAATATTCTTATCAAATGCTTTGGCAAGTTATTTCATAACCGATATTGAGAATTCAGCTCCTCAAAAGCGAGTTCTCAATTTATAGGATAATAAAGTAAGATATCTCAAATATTGATGTTAAAATCAATGGTTTGTATGGTAACACATCCATGATTTGTTGTGTATATGTGTATGTAGTATCAACCATTTTTAACTGTTAAGATTGCTTTCTTTACTCCCTAAAGTGAGTTACTTAATTTAGCGGTGCTATCTCCCCACATTAATCTGCTTTGGATACTAGGTCAAATTCCTTTCCAGCATAGTTCTTCTACTGGTTCAACATTTAAGGGAACCGAGGGGAATGATATGGGATGTCTCATCGGGTCATCTTCTATTGGGAGTCCAAATCTCACCATCCATCCTCAATTAGTGGATCCCAGCCAATCACTTGTAAGCAGATATATCTCTACGTTCTAGTGGATGGAACATATATGCAGACACTTTTCTCAAAATTTTGGGTTTCAGGCGCATATTGCATTCCACTTTGCTGATCCATGCTACAGTGGCCTACTTTCTGCTTCATATGGCCATCCATATAAGGTAATTTGTACTTAGAATTTATTTTATCTATTTCAATTACCATTTATTCGTGTCACCTTGTCTCAATTCCAACATGTTGATATTAAGATTCAGTTTCCTTTTAAAGTTGAATGGATTATGATTATGCTTGAATCGTTCAAAAAACTTGTAAATAGATGTTAGGATTATGATTACACCTGTTGCTAGTTACACGCTTATAGCATCATGTCATCATGTACTGACCAGCTTCTTCATGGCCAGCTAATGGAAACAGCTTCTGTTCGAGTTCCCCTGCCGTCTGATATGATGGAAGAACCCATATATGTGAATTCGAAGCAGTACCATGCTATTCTGAGGCGAAGACAGTGTCGAGCAAAACTTGAAGCACACAACAAACTCATCAAGGATCGTAAAGTAAGCATGCTTACGTTTCTATTTTGTCACTTCTGCAAAATAAAATTTCTCTTAAACCAATCACATTACAATATTGTTTCACAGCCATATCTTCATGAGTCCCGTCATGTACATGCATTGAAGAGAGCTAGAGGTGCTGGTGGCCGCTTCCTCAATGCTAAAAAGCTCGAAGAATCGAAGCTCGCATCACAAAACCATGGTCAAAATGTTTCCACCAGCTATACTTGTTTGAATTTGAATGCGAATATGCCTGAATCTAAAATGCATGATAATGTTGAAAACTATAAAGATGATGCTTCTGATGTGACATATGAATCTAATAGGACTGAAATGTTCCAGCAGCAACAGGAGTTAGAGTTCAGGTTATGCAGTTACCCTTCTTCTCAGACTGGAAGAAACATGCAGAATTATACAACTGACAAGAGTGTTGGTGCGAATCAACGCCACCGACTATCGGTTCTCATGTGAGAGACTTATAGAACACATTGTTGTTGGAATCAGATGAAGACCGCAGCTTGTGTTGTGTTCTCTCCACCATTGGGAAGTCATCCTTGGCTCATATTTATTTCTGTCTTATGTTTGATTGTTTTAATTTTCCATCACATTTTACTACTTATTGTTATTGTGTAGCCTATTATCTTTTAGGCAAAAAATGCAAGCACTGACTTGTCAAAAACAATGGTAATGCTTCTCTATGTTGATGTATGCAAAATGACTTTGATGTTGTAATCTTTAAACTATCTAGTAACTTAACCTTAATCTCTGCAAAGATTTGAGATAAGTGTGATGTGAGGTTCATATGTATAGTTTTCATACTTACAACAAATTTTACCTATATTTTGATGAACAATTCCAATGAAGAACTAAAAGAAAGATTGAACCATATGTAATGATTTTAAATTCCTTTTTGACAAACAATCGCATGTGGAAAAGAACCTATGCTTCATTTTCTTAAAAAGATAATTACTTTTTGTTAATGGAGTGTTAATTGTGACAATTTGGTTTGCGTCATTCCAGCCCCCAACACATTCATGGTAAAGGGGTGAATTTAGTCTCACATTACTTGATAAGACCTGTATTGTGTTTATGAATGAGGACAATCCTCATCTTATAAGCAGACCCAACCCAAAAATTCTGAGATGATTTCAGAGCCTATCATAGATCCATTGTCGGATTTCCCGCGTCACCTTACAAACCGGTTTAGTAGAATCCTAATAAATCAAGAACAAATCATGATAATAATATGTAATATAAAATCCAATACTAAGATATTTTTTAATATTCTAACATTTTAAGTACTGATGGGGCGTCGCTGCGCATCGCGGTGTCTGACACTTGTATGACACGTGTCGAAAAAAGTCAAAAGTCAAACAAGTGTGCCTCAACAAATTTGTTTTTTCTTTGCTTTGACACTTTAAGAATCGGTGTCTGACACCCGTATGAAACTCATGCAACATGTGGCGGACAATTCATACCAATGTTTCAAAAAGAAATTGTTTTTCTCAATGCTTCAACACACTACAATTGTTAAACAAATCTCTCACGCATCTAAAAGAGTTAAATATATATTTAACCAATGTTATCAATGAAGAGTTAAAAGACCTTAGTTTTAATTAGAATATTTTTAATTATTTTGATAATAGATGAATAAATGAAGCTCAAATAGTAATCATATATGAAGGGTGTCGGTGTCCTATATTTTAACATTATTAGTATAAGAGTGTTCGTGTCCTTGTCACGGTGTCTGTTTCGAAGTTCGTGCTTCATAGCTAACATCTCCCTCTACCTATACCCAACTCCATGCAGACTTTCCCTTAACCCTTTGTTGCATAAGGCTTCTAACTTCAAATACTTCATTCCATAAACCTTTTCTTGCATAGATATGTGCTAGAGTTAAATATGGAGCTGCATTACACGGTTCCATCTTAATGAGCTGATTAGCAGCCTCTCTTCCAAGCTCTACATCTCCATAAATCTTGCAGGCACTCAAAATGGAACTCCATATTATACAATTAGGAACATAAGGCATTTCCCCCATTAAATCCCTTGCCTTCCTAAGATTTCCATTTCTAGCATAAAGATCAATCAAGCAAGTATATTGATCTATATCAGGAGACAACCCATAATCTGTTCTCATTTTGTTGAAATATTCCTCCCCTTTGTCAATAAATCCTGCATGACTACAAGCTGTTAAGACAGCACTAAAGCAGACATGATCAGGAATCAACTTTTGCTCGGTTAATAAAGAATCAAAAAATTCCAAAGCCTCTAAACCTCTTCCACATTGAGCATAACCCATGATCATGGATGTCAACAACACTGTATTCCCCCAAGAAGTCTGATTCAACACGCGTCGAGCCTCATCAATGTCGCCACCCTTTGAATACATATCAATCAGAGTGCTGTCCACAAACACATTCTCAAAACCCATTTTAATAACCAGAGAATGCACTTGTTTTCCTTCTACAAGCACCGCGAGACGGCTGCAAGCACTTAAAATCGAAGATACAGTATGATCAGTTGGACTCATATTTCTTCCGCGCATTTCCACAAATAGTTTCAATGCATCTTCGCTGTACATGTTTTGACAGTATCCAGAGATCATTGTATTGTATATAACAGTATCCTTCTCACTAGTTTCATTAAATAATAACACAGCATCATCAATCCGTCCAAAACTCGCATAACAATCAACCAATGAACTAATCACAAAATTGCTAGTATCAAAACCTCGTTTGATGACATGAACATGAAGACTTGGACAACAATCAACGACTCCATTTTCCCCGACACACGCATTAACGACACTAGTCAAGGTAAAGCAATTAGGCCTAATACGAGTTCCTAACATCTCTTTGAACAACAAGAAGGCCTCTCTTCCTAATTTATTTGCTGAAAATCCAACAATAAGTGAAGTCCATGATACTTGATCATGCACTTTCATGGCTCTAAATATCTTCCTTGCATCCACAATGCAAAAACATTTCGCATAGAAATCAACAAGCGCGGTACTAAGGAACAGATTATCTTCATACCCTGATCGAATCATATAGGCGTGGATTTGTACGCCGAAATGCCAATTCACGGTCTTTGCACAAGAACTAAGTGCATTACAAAGAACATACTCTGTTGGTTTCTCCATTAGTCTACTCATTCTGGTTAATGACTCTAGTGCTTGGTAGGTACTTGCACTTTTAGAATTCTTTCTCATGTAATCATGTTTACAAGCTTTGTAGAAGAGTTTCTGCATCAAAAAATCATCAACAAAAAAGAAAATTTTAAGATTGTACATAATTCATGGTTTCATTTAAAAGCTTAGAAATAGTGTGATGAATAACCAATTTACCCTTATCATGAATTTGAGGAACTATATGAAAGTAGGTCGTCGGGGAAGGGGTTTGGCGGCGGCGGAGAGAGAACTGAGGTGGACAGAAAGAGAGGAAACACGCAGAGAGATTTGAGGCAAGGTATTTATTCGAAGCAATAGCGTGTCTTTTGTAAAGCGCCGGTGGGAACAATGCAATGCCGTTCGCGGTGGAGCTGAGGGTGGAGCGGTTGGGTATTGGAGTTGAGATAAAGATAATGTGTAGGAAGTGTATGATATTGGCGTGCGCCTTAGATAGATCTAATGGCAAAATGAGTATTTCATTTGGAAGACAGACTTTTATATTATTTTTTTAACAAGGGGTATTGGTTAATGTTACTATATACCATTATTATTAGGAGTGATAAACTGGGCGGGACCAATTTAAGTCCATCTAAAAGCGAAGTGGGGTGGGGCTGATTAGCTTAGATGTCTGAGTTTAAAAGTCGAGTCGGTCCGTCAATTTTTTTTTTATAATTTAATTTATTATATAATTTACAAAATTGTTAATCATTATCAAAGAGACTGACAAATTTTAATAACGCATAGTAAAAATTTAACTAATTTTAATGTAAATATCATATTCTTCAACATAAACAAAAAAAACATAACTATAATACCAAAAACTTAAAATAAACAGTCTAAAATCTCAAAATAATCTTTTTAGTTCAAAAAAAATCATCAAGCACAATCTAGTTAAGGACATCTAAAGACATAAATCAAGAAAACAAACTAACACAAGCAAAACAAAGACAACTAATAACCAATAACAAAAAAGTCAATCTTAAATACTCCATGACAAACACTTCATTCATCATCGTCTATGTCGTGAACATACGAAGCTTCAAATGATACCATAGCCATTGGATGAAACTAGCCACCATCTATCTCCTTGTCGTCACCCACTATTTAATAATTATCAAGATCAAAAACATCAAAATTACTAGATTTATTAATGAAAGCACCTCAAAAATAAAACAATCCAAGAAAAACCAAAACTTCATTATTTAAAAATTATCAATATAAATAATAAGCACTTAGTTGAGCATTTTAGTGTCAAAAAATAAATAAAACGAGAACTCAAATAAAATAAAATACAAATCAAAACTTTATTATCATAATGAGAAACAAACCTTTGTGTGCAACCTGTGTTAATATTGTTTTAATTCCAAGTAAAATAAATATTTTTTTTTAACAAAAAGCCTGTGGACAAAATTAGTTCCACCTCACATTTGGCCCGTTTTAAAAGTGGATTAGGCGGAGCGGGGCAACTTAAGACACTGAGCCGAAAACCTCGCCCCGGCCCGCCAAATATGATGGATTAAACGGGAAGGTCTGATGGGCCTAACTCGTTTTACCACCCCTAATTATTATGTATGGTTAAATGTGGTTTATGTACAGATATTAGCAGGGACATTGAAAAACTCATTAAATTAAATGTTAAATTATAACAAGATTTCTCCTAAATTTGACTTTAACATTTAAAGATAAGAAAAACTATAAAAAAAAGACTCACTAGAAAGAGTCATTGCACTCCTAACCACTTAAAAATCATATAGTAGATACTAGAAGTTAATAGATACTAGAAGTGTGTGTGTGTGTGTGTGTGTGTGTGTGTGTGTGTGTGTGTGTGTGTGTGTGTGTGTGTGTGTGTGTGTGTGTGTGTGTGTGTGTGTGTGTGTGCGCGTGTGTGCGTGTGTGTGTGCGTGTGTGTGTGCGTGTGTGATAGAGAGAGAGAGAGAGAGTGAGTGAGAGAGAGGTGAGGTTCTTTTGTGTTTTGTAAGCAGGCACGACAAAATAAGTTTCATCTCTAAAATGCTTCCAACCCCACCTATCACTCTCCTCACTAAACTGAAACTCTTGAAGGACCGTAAAAAATGTCAGATACCAAAGGTTCTTTATGAATGAATAATGGTTTCCTTCATCTAAGGTCCCACGAGATCCTACTCTGAAGCCATCTCCCTATCTCTCCCACATATTCCTCTTGAATTTGAGAGATGGTAAATAGTATTTGAAACCTTGTCTTAAGAGGTATAGACCATATCTAAGGATCATTCTAAAAGGATGCAAGATGATCGGACCCCACCTTCTCAACATGCTATCTCTTAAACCAGTTTGAAGGATTATCCTTTTTGGAATCGATAAGGGCCACTTCTTTCCACCAAGAGGAAACAAAGCGAAGCTCCACAGACCTGCCCCCACACACAAAGGAGACAAAAGTATACCATATAATGCGGAAATGATATCAACCTTAAGCACATATGAGCATGTTAAAAATCTTCATCTTCATTTGGCTAAAAGGGTTATATTAACTAGTCAGAGATCTCTAACATATAGACATCCCATCGTCTTAGATTTATAGACATATTACCACGACACCTAGGAAATCTTGGACTCCCCTTTCACACTATATTTTAAGAAAAGATATAAATAAAATAGGAAAAGCATTGAGGACAAAATTGATGAGGGTAACTCTTTCTCTTGGGATAACATACCCATGATACCAAGAATGAAGTCTTTTCCATATAAGGTTAACTAAAGGATCCCAAGTAGCTTTTGCCCAAGGGTTGGCACCTACTGACAATCCTAGGTACCTAAAAGGGAGAGGCCCATTCTTACAATGAAGGAAATTCACAGCTAACTCAAAAAAGTAAAAATCAATATTAATCTCAATCAATATACTCTTATGAAAATTAACCCCAAGACAAGAAGTCAACTCAAACCTTCTCAAAGTTGCCTTAATGGTCCATAAATTCTCAACTAAGGGAACAACCAAGATTAAGGTATCATCAGCGTACTTGAGGTGAAATACCTCAAAATTGGAGGACCCAACTTTAATACCAGAAAAAGGGAAAGCTAAGAGTCCCTCCTAAATAGACCACTAGAAGAAAAAGGAAAAGAACTAGATGGTTTCCCTACTTCAGTCCTCTTTAGATATTAATCCCTTGAGTAGGAATTCATTGACCAACACCGCTAAATTACTAGAAAACACGCAAGCTCTGGTAAATATTTAGTATTTTCCACTATTTTCATTGCAAGGCTCGACAAATTGGTGGCAGATCCCCCGCGGATAAGGGTTGCTAAAAATTACGTATCCACGTATTAAAATATTAAAAAATAATAGGTTTGAATTAGTATATAACATATAATATATTAAAAATTAAAATTATAATATGAGAATGATCGATTATGTTTAAAACAAATTAAATATTAATAATAAAAATATAAATACAACTAATAAATAACAATTTAATAAAATCGGACCGAACCGTCCATTTCAACCGGTTGAAATAAGAATCAGACCTATGTCCAATCTAAGTAAGCCTCAAAATCACTATGTCAATAAGCGGAGTAATAAATTGGAAATTGGTCAAAATCCGTCAAAATCAAAGGTTCAAGTAATTCTACTGGTTGGACCATATTTTAGTTTTTCTCTTCAACAAAAAGATAAAATAGAGAAAAAGAATATTCTCAAATTCAATTGTTTTTTCACTTTCGCATTCATTTATATTTTTTGTAAACACAAATAAAATTGAACGATTTAGTTTTTTTTTAAAAAAACAGAGAAATAGTAATAAGTAGAAATTCACATATCATTAATCATTCTAACCATTAGTATAAGATTCAAGATAGTATAAGATTCAAGAAAGAAAGAAAGAAAGATGGGAATAAACTAAGAGCAAGAAGAAATAAAGAACACAATAAAGGAAAAGAGAAAATGAAAAGCAAAGTATATATAATTTTAAAAGTAAAAAAAATGAAGGATGAGATAAAATAGACAGAAAGTTGAGCGGCGACACTTGCTTTGGTTTATTATTTTAAGGTTACTAAATGTTTTTGTGCCGGATAAGTAAAAGTCATATAACACAAATGAAAATTTGAAATTTGGCCCATGAAGTATTTTTGGGCATTGTTCCTCCCACCCTATGGGGTTATCAGCATTTGTTATTTGTACATACATTCATTTTTCTTTCAAAACATATTTTAATCATGGTGATCGTGTCAAATTCGACAAAGAAGTCCAACAAGGATATTTCAGGAGACTCGGTGGATCCAAATATATTGAGGATTATTTTCATTTTCGTTCATGGAGATGTCTTTGACTAAGATTTGATTAAAGTTTGTCTCGCAACTGACAAGCGAGTGTTCCCCCCAGAAGAAAATAAGAGAATTTGCAGTCATTATGATGAGTGTGTATCATATTGATTTCGAAGTTAGTATTAAACTATTTGTTGATACCCCCTTCACAATTACACTAGTGAGCATAGCGTTTTTTTAAATTTTTTTATTACTAATATGATTATAATGGGGATAAGTTGAGCGTGACATTGCTCTTTCATCTTTTTAAAATTCAAAATAACTCCAAATACGCCAATGGTTTTGGATTACTCCCTTTAAGAAAGATTACCAGATATTTCAAGGCTTATTTTGGTAGTGTGAAGCATTTCAAAGATCATTTTTACCTGGTTACTTCTTTTAGTGAAGAAGCACATTCAAATATTTGCCACTTAGAACCTAGTGCTTCTCTCGTACGTACATATGTCTTTCTTAAGTATTGGACTAAAAGTCATTACTTGACAAGGACATGATCATATCTATACAAATAGGGGTCTTATCCCATGAGTAATTATACATGAAAAAACCAATTGACAACGTTATATAAGGAGCTTGGCTATGTTGGTAGAGTTGTCCTATCTGACAGGGTGTTAAGGAACTAGTTGAAAGTGTGCATTCAGACTCGCTGGTCGGTGGATGCCAAATCAAAGGAGGAAAGAAATAAAATATTTGGT